CATCAGATAAACAAAATGTAGGAAACTGGTAACATCAGATAAACAAAATGTAAAAGCAGTTGAAAATTGTTATGTCAAAACAAACATTTTGCTTTCTAGGGAATAGTGGGATACTTTTCATTACCTGCAGCAGCTGGTGCACATATGTCTAGATTTCATTTAGAAAAAAATGAATTAATATTACATTTTAATAAGCAATTTATCATAATATGGAGTTTTTTTTCACCAATATTCCAAATTCAATCATATATATTTATATTACAATAAAGATCACATCAAAGTTAGTGAAAGGGCCGACTCATCTTGTAATGTTCATCTATCAAGGTCTTTGCAAGAAATTCCACCTGGATAGAACGGTGGGAAGCCACACAAGGCAACTGCAAAAGATCTGAGTAATAAATGTAAATAGATTGAACACGAAAACCTGTTAGGATAAACCTGCCAGAATTTCCAGTCCGTTTTTCTCTTTGACATCTTGGCTTACACAATAGCTCCATTCATTCTGTCTAGTGCAGTTTAGATTAACCCTTTATGTTTTGCCAAGCTATACTTTAAACAAAGTAAATCAGAAATTTTAAGATTTCTGGGACAATGTTCAGATTTTAAAATCCAAGCACAGTGCTCCCCAGTGTTAGATTCCTAACCTTCAGTCAATTCAACACTAATATTATTAGTAGTAGTATTATTAATATATTAGTATTCATCACAGAGTTGTAATTATCTATGGTCTGAATTTAGTTGGGGGAATTTTAAGGGACCGAATGCAAGAATTTAAATTAATACAAAATATATTTGGAGGTAGGAACAGAAGTTCTGAGGAGCAATTCTCACAGTACTAATATTCAGAAAAACTAAATTTGATAGGAATACATGGCAGTTGGAAACTACAGATGAGGAAAGGGCAGCAGACACCTGGATAATAGAGTAATATTTAAAGGACTTTAGGATTTTATAAAGATTTGTTTATGAAGAAATCTTTTGGAATATAAAAAAAACTTTGTTGGAGGTAGTTTATGACAGGATGTTCCGCAAGAGTTCTATCTGAGATCAAAGGAAATAACTAGGCCAAAGATGTCAATAGATGATATAGAAAAGAACAGTCATTAAAGTTCAGAGCTGGCTGCTAGCTATAGGTTGGATTTATAAGAGTCATGAACTACGTGCGCTTTGCATAGTAGAACCACATTTCTATTTAAATGTTTGGGTTTGGTGCAGATTTGTTAGAGGAAGCAGATTTCAGAAGCGAAGCATTCCCTCCCGGGAAAGGAACTTTGGCACAAATTGAGAGGTATTAATGGCAGTAAAGTTAGCAGCCTACCGAGATGGAATCTGTGCATTATCCCTGCCGACTCTCCAAAGTTCTTCAAGGGAGCAGGTCAACAGCTTACTACATAATTAAATTGAGAATATGGAAGAACTAACTACTGAAATCAATCTACATTTGCTGTCACTGTGCTACCTTTATAGTTTACTTCTCATGAAAATGTACCAATCAACTATACAATCAGTACCTCTGAGTAAGAAATGTACACAGTTTAATCTAACATTCAACTGCAAAATCTGTGGATATTGTACAGCATTTGCTTTGCTGTATAATATTTTCATGCATTAACATATGTCTCAGATTGATGAGCAAATAAATCTTATTTAAAAGCAATTTCTCTGCATAATGACACAAAGATGCGAATCCTCATAAAAACAATGCTAGAAATTGAATTACTCAATTTGAGATTTTTGCATTCACGAGATCCACTAGATGTCACTATAAGAAACAGAAATATTACATGACCTATAACCTAGGCATCAATTTGCAGGAAACCAAACTGCAGAAATTATTTATAATAGTGTACCTGGGGACACAGTTAAAATTAAGATGTCAAGAGTGTTTGGAAAAGTCAGGTTAAGTATTTTCCTAAACAAAGAGTAACAGCCTTGTAAAGCACATCACCAGGAAGCCCATTAAAGTAGATAATTTGGGATGTATATATAAAGTGGATGCAATGGGTTAATTGAGACTTCTGGTTTGTGAATATTACGAGCCATTCAATTTGTGAATCCTGGAAGCTGGTAAAGTTTGAAATGAGCAAAACATCCAAAAGGGGGTGGACTTGTTGGTCCTAATAGCTTTGTGTCCCTAAAGATTATGTAGTGGGCAAATACAAACTTGTATGGAAGCATTTACTGGCACTAAATCAATAAAGAACAGTGCAGCTCCTCTAGAATTTGTCAAGAATTTTAGCTTGGATTAAAACACCAGATTTTGATGTACTGTATATAAGATAATAAACAAACATTTGTGGCTTTCCATAAGTACATAAACTATCTAAGGTGAGGAGACTCTTGGCTCCCCAGTAATTGCCAAGTGTTGTCAGTTAGCATAAGTCTAATTATCACAAACAGGGAAGAAAGCTCATGTGAGGTATTTAGTTAATTGAAGTTCACAGCAGCTCTGATATTCCAACCGGATCAGAGAAAAAGTGTTTTGATAACTAGAGTTTATTATGGCAAGGTTCCACTGTAGTTTTAAAGTGGGATGTGCCAAAATGAATATTTCATAATGGCTTTTGCTTGCTTTTAATTTAGCTCCTTCAAACTCTGGGCATATAATGCATACGTAGCTCAACATCATTCACATAATCAGGGGTTACAGAATGGTTCACTAACTTTGGAATGAAATACACGAAACTGGAATGAAACACAGAAGCTGAATGGACTATATATAAATATTTAGCAATGGGGTAGCGTTTATACATTTTATTCATACATCAGAAGAGTATCTAAAACAAAATAACATGACCAGTGCATTTTTACCCGTGTTATATTAAGTAAAATATAAAAAATGCATTGAATGAGAAATTTGGCCTATCAAGCCTGCTCCTTTCAAAGTCAACAATAAGAAAACTATCTGATCATTGACTCCAACCCAACCACTGAATCTCCTGTGGAAAACCCTACGAAGGTACCACCAAAAGGCAATCAACCAAAACTGCCATTATATTTAGCTAATCATCATATCTCCACTATTGACTCTGGTCTTCACCCTCTAGAGATTTCAACCAGGTCCAAGCACTGCGTCCCGTTCATCTCATTCTGCACACATCCATATAAAATGCTTTGAAACGTTCCCCTAAGTAAAGGGTGCTATGTAAGTGCAAGTTATTGTCCCTATAAAATTCAACCCTCTTACTAAGCAGACAACCATCTAATTATTCTTGAAGAAGTTCAGTGACAAACTAATCAACTAACTTGTTATTACATCCATATGCTTTAACCTTCTTATAGAATGCTACTATTTGGAACTTTCAGTCTGAAAAGCATTCTGAAATTACAAGTATATTCTATGACTTGTTTCATGAGAATTCAAGCAATTCCATGAAGTTTGAGCCATTGCTATAGAAATCCATGCTGATTGCTACGTATGGTATGGTCTTATATGCTCTTTTTACAAGCACTGATATCATCCATAGAACACTCAAGTATTTTGGGGCGGTTGTTTGGTTTACAATAGCCAGGCTCGTGGCTGACTCCTTTTTTGAATATTATCAACTCTCTCAACATAATTTAAATAACAGGCAGCTCGTAGATAATAATTGTGTTTCAGCTGTGATGCCTATGGTCGACACCAATGCAGACCAACAACGTCCTGTTGTCAGCAATGAATCCCTTTAGTAATGTGCCCACAAGTGAGGTACTAAAATGCTGCAGCATATGTGGATGAATCTTCCAGTCTCATGTCCACTTTCAGAAAATCTATACAAGAGATCAAACGATTTTTGTTCGAATGAGATGTTGGCCTTTATCTTCAAAGGCCCCAACTGTTATCTGTGTGAATACAGAATGTTCACGGAATAGGGGCACCAAGTGAAAGGAGATGAGCAAGGGAATTAAGATTATTTACTTACTGATTATGGGGTTCAGTTCTCACTTCAATTGTACACAATAATCAATGTGTAGGTGTTCAGACACTTTCAGGTAGTTGCTCAGTGCTGGTTGACCTCTACATCAATTTTTATACTGCAGGGAAAGAAGCTACATCTCTCCCAGAAATAAAGCACCATGGAGTAGAAAGCTTAACTTACATTTCCCACTTACTGTCGAATCATGCGGCAAAAGAATACCGTGTTTGGTCCGCCTGCATATTTGGCAATCACATGGGTTGATAACTGGCAAATGAAGTTTACTTTTGATAAATTACATATAGGATTCCAGAATACGAAACACAAGTACTTCATGGATGGGACTGAATTTGCTAAGGGGAAACTGAACGTAATCTAGGGATGTTAGTTGACTTGTTGCTCACAACTTTAAAACAATGTGAAGTAGCAATAAACAAGACACACAGGATGCTGGGTTATATTGCTAAATCAGTTACGTACAAATTGCCAGAGGTCATACTCAAGCTATATTGTTTTAGTCAGACTGCACCAGAAGTACTGAACACAGTTCTGGACACTGAACACCGCAAGGTAAGGGGGTTGTCCAAGCGCAGAGGTGAACAGCCAGGATAATTCCTCAGGTATTAGAGGAATGAGTTATTTGCAACAATTAGACAAGATAAGGCTCTTCAGTCTTGAGACAAGAGGGGTCTTCACGGAGGTGTATAAAATTTTAAATGGGATTGAAAAAGTAAAAAAAAGTTAGTAGATATGATTTATTGTTTGTGTCCAATTTATGCAGGAACACACAAACCTAATTGCAAAAACGTTTAACTGATAATAATACTACTTGCATTTGATATAGCGCCTTATCACATCGTCGAGACGTCCCAAAGCGCTTCACAGCATACACTGTAAAGTGTAGTGACTGTGTATACTGTGGGTGAAACGCAGCAGCCAATTGCACACAGCAGTATCCCACAAACAGTTGTGGATTGAGTGACCAAATTATTTTTTTTTGGAGGGATTAATGTCAATTACAGTGAAGTGAAATCATGAGGAGGAAGGCTGGGAGACAATTGCAAATGGAGTGGGTACTTAAGATAATGCAGATTTGATACTAACCTGATACTGATAGCTTCTGAACCACTGCTTTAAGTCCCAGTCCCACAGGATCATCTGGAAAACATGAAATTAAGTCTTGTTAACACTTCGCACAGGGTGGCTTGATTAGTGTTGGAAGCATGAAACTAGAAGTTAGCTTAGATTTTTTTCAGTTCGTAATAGCAGCATTTTCTAACTGCAAAAAACATCTGCACTAGTGATTACTAGATTGATGTAGATTTAACAAATTACTTCCATGTCAAGTACACGTTTGCCGTGTAATGACATAATTCAAATGCAAACGAAAGGACATAAAGTACACCTAAAGTACATTCAACTGGACACACTCATTTAAGTATCACAGTCTCGCATTGTGCCTTCCTTATAAATCACTACAACAATGACCGGACATGTATTTTTGAAAGAAAAAGAGATGGACCAACAGAAGACAGTTTACTGTAAATATGGCTTGAAAACTTAATTATGTAAATACAAATTCCTGATAACCAGACCAAAGGGATAGAGCTCAGTGACGAGCTATTTGGGGTGGTGAATTAGGCATACATATAATAATAATAATCCTTGCATTTGATATAGCATCTTATCACGTCTTCGAGATGTGTCAAAGCATTTCACAGAATATACTATAAAGTGAATTGATTGCATATTTTGTGGGCGAAATGCGGCAGCCAATTAATTGCGCACAGTAGTGTTCCGCAAACAGTTGTGGGTTGAGTGACTAATTTTTTTTAATGTATAAGTACATATATAAATGTGTCCGGAATATTGACAGTATAATGAGTTAAGTTAAGTCAAGGTCGAATCATCAGGAATTATATATATGTACTATAATATGATGCGTCATTCCGAAAAATATTGCAAAGCTATAAAGTATCTAAAAAGCAAGTTACTGTCAGGCAAGTGCCTAAAGGTTGCTTCATTTCAAAATGCTCAATTTTTCTCTTTCATAAATTCAAATTCAACAAAGTATACTGTGAACTCCAGGAGTTTTGTTTTCCTGCTTGTTGCTCAGTGAGCATGTTAAATGCATAAAAATGTATATGATAAATCATAGGAATTAATAGTTTGCAACATGAATTGATAAAAAGTCCAGGAAAATGGGCACTGTGTTATTTCAATATAAAAGACGAGTAAGGAAGAAGCACCACAACAAATGAAAATAATGAACTTGAATCTTAATCTGAAGAAATCTATACATATCATTAATGAAGTCAATTTTCAATTCAACAACAACAACAAAATTACACTTATAGAGCGCCTCTCACGTCGGGAGGAAGTCCCGCTAAATTCAACCACTAAAAGTGCACATGTATTAAAATAAAAATCATTCACTTTCAAAGCAGTCATATAAATATGTTTATTAGTTAATTGCTCAAGTGACGCAAATGTGTGTATTTGTAGGTTTTGCCAAATATCGAGGTCTAACAGGTGCTGATGGGTTCCAATAAAATCTGAGATGTAATACACCTACCGAATGACATTTACTTTGTCCTCTGAAACATTCCATAGTGTAAGGTTTTTTCCTTTCTGCTGTCACATATGCATCACCAGACAAATATGTAAATGCCTGCCATTTTTTGACCCAACAGTTTACAGTTCAAAGGTGCCAGGTGTGCAATGAAAATAGATTGCTGTGAACCTGGATACCCTATAGAGAAAGCTCATTCCATTGACAAGGTCAAAATCATGATGGGTTAAATGTATGCAAAAAAAATCATTTTCACACATCATTTTCACTTATTTGCACTATAAAAATATTTGGTTGGAAACATGAGTAAGTATATTTTGGCCATTTCCAATATACTGGAATCAAGCTGAAACTTTCTGACAGTCATTGCTATTTACTAGGCCATAATTTGATACAGAAAATCCTTTGCATTAGATGTTAAACCGAGAACCTGTCTGTTCATGTGGATGTTAAAGATCTCATGACACTATTCAAATAGAGAAGTTTGTTCAGGTGTCCAGACAGACACCTGAACAGTCCTCACATAATTCATAAATACGACAGTCCTCGCATAATTCATTGTTTCATATTCATTCACTTCACTTCAAAGCTATATTGTGGGTTACTGCTGTGCTCAAATTGACTGCCATGTTTGCCTTCAAATACAGTTAATTCTGTGAAGCTCTTTGCAATGTTTCCACAACAAATTAAGAAGCTATAGCAAATGTAAGAATTACTCTTATTATTATTACAATGAACGCTTTTAGTACTGTAAAGCAAACCACAAGATAAAATAATAGAATAAACTGAATATCAGTCTTCACCATCAGGTTTCTGTGGTTTGTTACCTCCTGTTTACTACAGGAAGCACACACTTCTGTTTGTGCTGAATACCACAAATTACTTCTGTAATTGCAGATCTACATTGACCAACAAATAAAATCATGTGAAAAACACAATGTGGCTCAATTTTATGCACGCCCTGTTGTTCTGTTTTCTACAGGATATGAAAGATTCAGTGAGATCAGCTGCGAACAGTTTTGAGCTGAAAGGTATATTATTTACTATATATACTGCTGCAATGCAGAATAAGACAGTATATGAAAGCACACCGGAAGGTGGAAGTCAAATAAATGACAATTTTTACTGGGTAATTAATTACTTTAGTGAACCTAAAATGCACTTCCGTACTTCCCACATATATCTAAGTATTTCTGTATTTATCTAAAAAGTTTCCACAGAGAACCCAAACACCAAAGAAAGGTGTGACTTTGATTAGTTCCTATGTTATAGGGTTATATGTCAGTCATGATATGAAAGTAGTATTCTCTACTGTCAAAAATAAAAATAAAAGATGGGTTCTCAATCCTGGTTAAGTTTTCTCTACCTTTCTTGCAACTTCTTATTACACAAATTCAAGGTCAATGAATCTTGAATTAAATGGGGAAATAGGAAGCATTGTGATTAGAAGTTTGCAAGTTCGACAGCAAGATCAAAGCAATTTGCAAAGTTTTGACATTATATGCAGTATATCAAATAAAACAAGTGCTTGCATTTATATTGCGCCCCTCTCGCAGGGTAGCGAACCAGAACTCTTGACAGCACGATGTCAAGCCGGGGGGAGGAGGGAGGTGATTGTAGGCACAAGTCGAAGTGGAGGGTCTTCAGGTGCGATCTGGGGATGGGGAAGGAGGGGGCAAGGTGGAGGGATTGAGGGAGATTGGTCCAGAGTTTCGGGGCGTAGTGGCTGAAAGCACGGCTAAGGATGGAGGAACAGAGAGCACGAGGGACAAGCAGGAGGCTGGAACCAACAGGTAGTGAGTTAGGGAGCAAGCAGATTGCAGAGGTACAAGGATTTTTATGAATAAAAACTAGCTTGATGACAACTTGTCTTAATGTGATGGGAGGGAATATTGTAAATAGTGAACAAATCCATATTAGTTAAAATACTAACCCTAAAGAGTCTTTGACAATTTTTACTTCATAAACTTGGATATGTTGTGCAGTCACTTGGCTCGCCACAGTCACAAATAATTGCTTTCCATTTGCTTCATTTGATGTCAAGGAATATTTTCAAGGCCACAGTCTGTCAATATCATCCGGCTGACACTTGTGCTCAAATATAAAAAAAGGCCACTTGGTTTAAATACTGGAAGACTATCAATTCCCATAGTATCAAACATCATCAGTGAATACCGTATGCTGAGAAGAGGACTGGAGCAAAGGGGTGGGGCGGGGGCATGGTGGAAAGAGCAATGATATTCCTATACTCGTTGTTATTGAGTAATAACATAAGCATCTATTACCTGCGTTTTCCCACACAGTAGCCATGAAACAACAACAAGAAGATTCCATTTATAGAGCGCCTTTCACGTCGGGAGGACGTCCCAAGGCGCTGGACAGTTGGGTCAGGACCCGAGCATTGGGGGGAAATGGTCAGTGTGAGAGGAGGGAAGGGAGCGAGGATGGGGTAGAGAGTCGAGAGGGGAACTGAAGGCTCGGTCAAAGAGAAAGGTCTTGAGACCGGCCTTGAAGGAGGAAAGGGAGGAGGCGGCGAAGGCACTGGGGGATGGAGTTCCAGAGCCTCGGGGCTGAGAGGCTGAAGGCCCGGCCACCGATGGTAGGGCGGTTGGGGCGGGGGATGTGGAGCAGACCGGAGCCAGAGGAACGGAGGGTACGGGCAGGTAGGTAGGGGGATAGCAGGTCGGAGAGGTTGGAGGGAGCGAGGCTGTGAATGGCCTTGTAGGTGAGGATGAGGATCTTGAATTCGATCCTCTGGGGGATGGGGAGCCAGTGGAGGCGAGCGAGGGTGGGAGTGATGTGGTCGCGGTGTCTGGTGCGGGACAGTACACGAGCTGCAGAGTTCTGAATGACCTGCAGTGTGGAGGGAGGGCCGGGAAGGCCGGCGAGGAGAGAGTTTCTGTAGTCCAGCCTTGAGGTGATAAAGGCGTGGACCAGAGTTTCAGCAGCGTGAGGGGTGAGGTAGTGCCGTAGTCTGGCGATATTTCGGAGGAAGGGGTTAGTTTACAGAGGCCAGATAATAATAATAATCCTTGCATTTGATATAGGGCTTTATCACGTCTTCGAGATATTTCAAAGCGCTTCACAGAATACACTGTAAAGTGAATTGACTGTGTATTCACTGGTCTGTAGGGAGTAAAAGAAGTAGGTCGGCGGATAGAAAATCAGAAATAGTGAACAAGTCAATTAAAGGACAGATTGTACAAATTAGATTAGATTTTATTTAAATAAGTACATTACCAGAATATCCAAGTTAGAAAAGTCACCATGATCTGATAAAAAATAATTTCCTAATGAGATTTGGTTAAAATGTGAAAACGATTGTTCTGCATTTCTTCATAAACAGACAGACAGAAACATTACATCAATTCCTCTGCTTGCTGTTGCTCAGGGAAACCACAAGTTGAAAATTGTATGAACAAATTGAAGATTTTGAAACTGCAAGGTTGAACGGTACCAACTTTGGGAGCTCAGCTGTTGATCCAGGAAAATATACAGCAAGCAAGGGACACAATGCTAATGGTAATACGGTATTTGCCAATTCAACCAGTGTCCTTCCATTTTACAACATGGTGCTAACAGAAAT